CATTCCTGGTGTGTCCCTGGGGCTGGTACCCCCAGGTGACCCTGCTTCTTCCCCAGGATGATCCTGATGGAGAAGAGATCGAGAAGGAGAAGTCAAACTCCTTGAAGCTGGAGTTCACCGATGATGACAACTTCAAGACCAAGGTCAACTATTCCTATGCTGCCGTGCAGATCCCAACAGACATCTACAAAGGCTGTGAGTGCCTCTCCCTACCTGCTCCACTCCACTCTGTGCTGCCAGGCCAGGCTCAGCCTCCACCTCTCCTGCTCGGGGTGCCACAGCCCCCAGGACTGTCCCCCCAAGGTGCCTCCCCCCAAAACAGACTGGCTTCCAGCCAGGTGGGCACTGAGAGGAGGCAGAGTCTCCATGTTAGGACAGAGGTGACCACATGTCCCTCCCCAGGGACCCTCAAAAGCTCAGAATAGGACAAAGAATAAATTTGGAGGTTAGGAGTTGTTAGGAAAGGATGGAGAGCAAAGGAGATCTGATAATTATAGCAGAGGGTAAAGCTTGGCTGTGATCTTCCCTGTAGAAGAGCTCAGCACAGCTTGAGGGGGTTCAAAGCAGGCACTGGAGATGCTCAGAGCAGCTCTGTGCAGAAGCAATTACAGCAGCAGCAGTTCCCAGCTTGTAGGACAGGGCAAAATGGGGCTGAGCAGTGGGAGAGGGCAAAGCAGGGATGGTGCCTCACTGATTGTGAAAATGGAGGAAGAACAGATGAGCTCCTGCAGGAAGGCAGCGAAGGCCATGGCAGGACAGTGCCATGCCAATGGGTCTGGGGAGTGTCAGCCCCTGGCCATGCCCCTGGGGCTGCTGGAGGGCACAGGCTATGCCAGAAAGGGGGCCTGGGTTGGTGGACCAGCCTGGGAGCAGGCAGGTGGTGATGGATGGATGGACGGATGGGATAGGAAATGCCACACCAGCTTTCAGTCCCCAGGGGAGATTACAGAGTCAGTCCTGAGCTTCCAGAGCTCTCTCCTACCTCCCCTGCTGTGGTGGCACATGATGACAGTCGGTCTCCATTTCCCTCTAGTGGCTGCTCTGCACCGAGCTGGGGACCACTCCCAGCACCATCATCCCCCAGCACCCGTGGGCTGCATCCTGCTCCCATCCCCACACCCCCTTGGTTTGGTGGCACTTCCGGAGGGCTCTGGTAGCCACAGCAGTGTTGGGGGCTGAGCTCAGGTTCCTGCCCCACACGGTGCCTTCCCTGCCACGGGCTCGTCACCGGCAGGGCCGTGCTCAGGGCCTGCAGAAATCTGCAATTAGTTTTATTACCCAGCTAGCACAGGCCAGGCAGCTAATGAAGCACATCATGCGAGCGGGGGTGGGCGCGCGGGATGGGCTGTGCGGGATGGAATATTCATTTCTCCTCAGCCCTGCTCTCCAGCCGATTCCTGGTCACAGCCACATAAATCACCCTGCTCGGCTGTGGGACGAGAGCAAATTGGAGATGAACGTGCTCTGGGGACTTATGGCTGCTTGAAGAGGGGTGCTGGAGAGGGGACAGGGTGGGGAAGGGTCCCAGGAGGAAAGGGGCCACAGCTACGGGCACGGTGGTGTGTGGGCACAGAGGTCAGGCCATGCCCAGCCATGCCGGGGTGCTCCGAAAAGCCAGGGTGCAGGGTAGGGTGCTCAGTGACTGCATTCCTGAGAGCAGGTTTGGGATGCAGGCACCATGTGCCTTTCCTGTTGGGGACACCAGGCACAGCAGGGAGCGTATCCCTGGTGGGACCAGTGGAGAGGCACTATCGCTGCCTGGCACGCTAATTAAACCGCCACGGAGACACCCTCTGCCGTCACCCCTCGCTACACACCCAAATTACATCCTATATGTGTTTTATTTACTGTGCCATTTTTAATTAAATCTGCAATCGCTCACTGGTGGGGCGGGGCTGGGCTCACCCTGATGGGGACAGGGACAGGACAGGGACAAGATGAGGAGGACAGTGGATGTCAGCAAGGGGGGCTGGCAGCTCTGGCCTCCATCAAGCCATCCCAGCCACGGGCACAGCCTCCCATCTGATGAGCACAAGCTCATGGCTCTGCACACCAGGAGAGCACAGGGGCTGTGTTTGTGTGCAGGAAGGGTATGGGGGCTGCACTCAGCCAAGCCTGGTGTGGCTGATGGGCTGCAAGGAGCTGGGGGATGCAGGCACTGCTGGGGCAGTTGGGGGGCATATTGGTGGCTCACATGGTGCCCAGCCAGGGCTGGTGGTATTGCCCAGAGCTGCTCCCAGCAGCCTGCTCATGTCCCCTTCTTCTGGGAAAAAAAACATGTCCTGTGACAGAGCTAAACAAGAAGTCATCCTAAGAGCCCAGATAACAGTGCTCTGTCTGGGCACAGCCCTGAGAAAGGGCTGGGGAGATAACAGCTGGAGCAGATCATGGTCTGAAGGCACAGCTGCCTGAGGGAAA